GTAGAATTTTTGCTCACATGACTCCATAGCTTAGAGGGAACATTGCTCAGGACAACGCCGCCGTACTGACTGCAAAGTCACCCCTGAACAGCCATAAAACAGCCATAAATCTATGCAGAAAGTACAATAAGATACCATAAAACCCGATAATCAAAGGAAGTGAAACCAGCATGCAATGCAGAGGAAGGTTCCAATGTGGGTTTCGTAAAACAACAGAGGATAAAGCCAATGCAGAATCAGCCATGGCTATCTTATAAATTATGGGATGAAAACTTATATCTTACAACTTTCAATAATTATAATTTGTTTGGGTGGGGAGCCAGAGAGGGAAAGGCTGCCATGGTCACCAGTGGCCCCATTGTCTGAGTCCAAGACCCAAATGGAGGCAAGCCAGCACCCGGTGTTGACTTATCTGGGCTGCCTCGGGTGATGTTGGGGAGGAGAGAGGCAGTTCAGGTGGCCCCTACTCCAGTGCTTCAGGTGGCCCCTACACAAGCCCAGTGGAGGCCAGCCAGCTGGGTGGGGCCTGGCCTCCACGCAGGTCAAGGCACAGGTGGGCCCAGCAGTAGGTCCCATGTCCCACAAGCCTACAGAAGCAGCTGAGGCCCAGAGCAGGAGCAGCCAAGCAGCTGTCGACTCTCCAAACCCATCCCCAGCCCAGATAGGGTTGAAATAGGTACCGGGGTGGGACTCTGCAGTCAGCCCAGGAATTTCCCAGCAGGGAAGGATGGGACAGCCCTGAAGGCAAGGCTGTGAGTCCTAGGAAAGGGGGGCTTGGGCTCAGGAGAGGGAGATAAAAGGAGGACTATGAATGGAGGTAGGGGAGGAAGCTAGGTGGATGCCAGGGCTGCTGCCAAGGGTGTTCCAGCCGAGAGAAGGACAACAGGGGTGAGCCAACCCCCTCACTTCTCTTTCTGAGACCTCCAAGGGACTCCAAGGGATGAAGACGTGACAGCCAAAGGTGGCGTGATCCGCAAGGGGCAGGTGGGGTGCCGCATAATTATTGACAGTCATGAAGATGCTGGTTGGGAACAGAAGGCACAAATCATCACAGTTGTAGTACCACAAAAAGTCATATTTCTAGATGCAATTGAAGACTCCTTCAACTTATTCCAGAAGTTAAAAAATGCAACTGAATGGTGTCCAGACATCCAAAGAACTACTCATTAAAAATCACTAGATACATAGGTAAAGGTGACGTGGATCAACCAAACCATGCCAAAACCTAATTGAATGATATTGACATATACATGCTATTGGTTTTTAAAATAATTATTTGTTTTTCAGTTTACAAACCAAAGGCTTACAATTATTCAATATAAAAAGGATATGTCAAATCAAGGACAACTTTGGAACCGGAAGTGGACTAGCGATGGCAGTCGCTCTCTCCAACCCTCGGAGGAGCGATTAGCACACCAGCGACATGGAGGGGTGCCACCTCAAGTGACACCTCCACGGAGCTCTTGGGAAGGGCTCCAAGCCAGAGGGCTTTTGAGGGTTAGCCTCTTCAACGACTATTTGCCGGAGAATAGAGGCTTCCCTCCGCCCTGACGGTCCGGTCGCTGAGTGGCCTTCGAGCACAAGCTAGTTCAACTGGGGCAAGCACGAGAGATCCAGCGGAATAACGATGATTGGGCGCGAGGTCTGAATGAATCCCGACAATGAACATGAGTTCTGTCGAGCAGACTGATTGTTAAGCAAATCCCCCCCCCCCGGGAAAGCGAAGAGCAGGGAGGGATGCCTCCTATGCACATAAAGAGTCAAGCGAAGCGAAGGGGGAGAGGGGGAAGCAAACAGTGATTTGTTTTGAGAGACTTAACTGAGTGCCTGCAGCGAAACGACTAGTCCTTCGAGCCTTTGCATAACGGTTAAAATTTGTAAACAAATTGGAAAAATGGCGGCGACACGAGGAAAGTTAAAACCAAAACCGGGTAGTCAGAGCCCAAGGCCAGAGGAGGGAACTAACGTCATGAAGCTGGTAGCGAATATGCTAGAGCAACTCGATGGTATTAACCAGCAGCTGACCTCGTTGAATCAAAACTTCGCTTTACAGCAGCGTCAGTTGGCAGAAACAGACAAGAAAGTGGAACAAGTAACAGAAAAAATAGTACAGATGGTTAACAAACAGAGTAATGGAAGCTGTAAAAAGTAAAAAGAATTCCTTTAAGCAGTGGAAAGCTAGTCACAGTTAGGCTGATAAAACGGAACACAGGCTATGGCAAATAAAATGCAAGTCTGAGGTCAGGCAGGCAAAAAGGGAATATGAGGAGCATATAGCAAAAAACGTAAAAACCAACAATAAAACTTTCTTCAAATACATTAGAAACAGGAAACCAGCCAGGGAGGCAGTGGGGCCCTTGGACGACCAAGGGGTAAAAGGAGTATTGAAGGATGATAGGGAAATGGCTGAGAAGCTAAACGCATTTTTTGCCTCCGTCTTCACTGTGGAAGATGAGAAGTGCTTGCCCACTCCAGAACCACTGATTTCAGGAGGGGTGTTGAAAGACCTGAGTCAGATTGAGGTGACGAGAGAGGAGGTCCTAAAACTGATAGACAACTTAAAAACTGAAAAATCACCAGGCCCAGATGGCATACATCCGAGAGTTCTGAAAGAACTCAAATGTGAACTTGTAGATCTCCTGACAAAGATATGTAATCTTTCCTTAAAATCTGCCTCCATTCCTGAGGATTGGAAGGTAGCAAATGTCACTCCCATCTTTAAAAAGGGTTCCAGAGGAGATCCGGGAAATTACAGGCCAGTCAGTCTGACGTCGATACCGGGTAAATTGGTGGAAACCATTATTAAGGAAAGAATTAGTAGGCACATAGATGAACAAAACCTATTGAGGCAGACTCAGCACGGTTTCTGTAAGGGAAGATCTTGTCTCACTAACCTGTTAGTGTTCTTTGAGGGGGTGAACAAACATGTGGACAAGGGGGATCCAATAGATATTATTTACCTTGACTTCCAGAAAGCTTTTGATAAAGTTCCTCATCAAAGGCTCCTAAGTAAGCTCAAAAATCATGGGATAGAAGGACAAGTCCTTTTATGGATCAAAAACTGGCTAGTTCATAGAAAACAGAGAGTGAGTGTAGGTGGGCAATTTTCTCAGTGGAGGGTGGTAAGCAGTGGGGTACCGCAGGGATCAGTACTTGGTCCACTGCTTTTTAACTTGTTCATTAATGATTTGGAGATGGGAGTAAGCAGTGAAGTGGCTAAATTTGCGGATGATACAAAGTTGTTCAGGGTGGTGAAAACCAGTGAGGATTGTGAGGCACTCCAAGGGGATCTGTCAAGGATGGGCGAGTGGGCGTCAACATGGCAAATGGGGTTCAATGTGGCCAAGTGCAAGGTGATGCACATTGGAGCCAAAAATCCTAAATATAAATACACATTGATGGGGTCTGAACTGGCAGAGACTGAGCAAGAGAGAGATCTTGGAGTTGTAGTGGATAACTCACTGAAAATGTCGAGACAGTGTGTGACTGCAATAAAGAAGGCCAATGCTATGCTGGGGATTATTAGGAAGGGTATTGAAAACAGATCAGCCAATATAATAATGCCCCTATATAAATCAATGGTGAGACCTCATTTGGAATACTGTGTGCAGTTCTGGGCACCACACCTTAAAAAGGATATTATAGCTTTGGAAAAAGTGCAGAAAAGGGCAACTCGAATGATAAAAGGGTTGGAACACTTTCCCTATGAGGAAAGGTTAAAGCGCTTAGGGCTCTTTAGCTTGGAGAAAAGACGACTGAGGGGTGACATGATCGAGGTTTATAAGATTATGCATGGGAAAGAGCAGGTAAAGAAAGAGGTACTTTTCTCCCTTTCTCACAATACAAGAACTCGTGGGCACTCCATGAAACTGCAGAGCGGTCGGGTTAGAACGGATAAAAGGAAGTACTTCTTCACCCAAAGAGTGATTAACACATGGAATTCACTGCCACAGGAAGTGGTGGGTGCTACAAGCATGGACGGCTTCAAAAGGGAATTAGATAAGCATATGGAGCAGAGGTCCATCAGTGGCTATTAGCCACAAGGTATAGCTAGGGGCTCTGGGGCAAGTGATGCTCTGTCTTCTTGGTGCTTGGGGGGGGGGTCAACAGTGGGAGGGCTTCTAATGTCCTGGCCCCACTGCTGGACCTCCTGATGGCACTGGTATTTCTGGCCACTGTGTGACACAGAGTGTTGGACTGGATGGGCCTTTGGCCTGATCCAACATTGGCGTCTCTTATGTTCTTATGTTCTTAAATGTAGGAGCAGGACCAGGGTACTTTAATCCATCAGGGAACTTCAAACCAACGGAATTCAGTACAGGTGGGGGATCCCCGAGGGTGTCATCTTTAAAATCAACGATAAAAGAGAGAAGATTGATTCAATTTTTAAAGCCAAGGCATTCTTGAGACGCCAGCTGGGAACGGGGGAAGAATCTAAGGAGGAAGAAACGAAGTCAAGTGACTCAGCAACCTCTGGATCGGACGAGGACTATGCAGTTGAAGCGGCTACAGGTGCAACGAAAACTGTGTATGATTTTAGAGACAGAAAGCCAAAGTAAGGGCAGAAGGACTCTGAAAATTGCTCTTTGAAGAAATGAAGATGCTCAGAGAGGCTTCTCAAGACAACTAATTTACTAACATAGAAGCAGTGCAAAGCAAGAACTCTACAAGTATATTGTCTTATTAACAAGTGTAATACTAACATTTAGTTTAACTGGGATATGATCTCTCACTCTTGGGTTTTTAGTTAGTGTGGGTATCTTTCCTTTATCCATAGATGTAGTCCCTTTCCAATTTTTTCTTTGTAGTTTTGTAGTCTATTAAAAAACAATAAAAATACCCCTCCGGGGGTTTCAAAGAAAAATAAATCAAGGACAACTTTGACTTCATCTGTTCAAATTAAGCTGAATGCATATAACTGATATCATTATCCAATTTTTGGCTGCAACTCAAACAGGCTAAAAATGTATGTTCATCGTATGCTTCTTTTTTCACTCAAGTGTAGGCAAAACCTCTCTTCTCCTTCGATATGTTCACAAAACATTTCACGAGGACTATCAAACCACCCTAGGAGCCAGTGTCTTGTATAAGATGGTGATGGTGGACAGCACCCCACTCAAGCTGCAGGTGAGATGAGCCTCACATTAGATCTCCTGCCCTGTGGCTATTAGGGTTGCCAACTCCGGGTTGGGAAGTACCTGGAGATTTTGAGCGTGGAGCCTGAGGAAGGCAGGGTTTGGGAAGGGGGAGACTTCAGTGGGGTATAATGCCATAGAGCCTACCTTCCAAAGCAGCCATTTTCTCCAGGTGATCTGATCTCTGTCACCTGGAGATCAGTCATAATCCCAGGAGATCTACACCCTCTGGAGGTTGACAGCCCTAATGATTATGCCAAAGGTCTGTGGCCTGGCCATACTTTCGCCACTGAGTGGATTGAAAATGTAGGTGTTAGTATTTAGTGTGATCATTCAACCTGTCTGTATACTCATTATCAGTTATTGTGAGATACAAAAATCAAGATTCAGATTTCTTAAGGCCAACCAAAATAACACAACATGGTGTGGAAGCTTTGTGGTTCTCAACAACTACTTTGTGACGGTGTTCTTTGACCTTTCCCCAGCTGCAACTGAGTGGATTGAAAATGTAGGTGTTAGTATTTAGTGTGATCATTCAACCTGTCTGTATACTCATTATCAGTTATTGTGAGATACAAAAATCAAGATTCAGATTTCTTAAGGCCAACCAAAATAACACAACATGGTGTGGAAGCTTTGTGGTTCTCAACAACTTGCACAATGTGTTGTGTCATTTTGACTTAATAAAAACAATTACATGGATTTGGGTTTTGGGTTTTGGGTTTTGCTATGATAGTTCCTCTGGAATCCCTGTGCTTAAGCCTTTGCAAATCTCTCCGAAGCTGATTCTATCTGCTAACTAAACCTTTAAGCCAGTTCCTGTACTGTCTTGCTTAATGAGGTACCGTAAAAAATAGAGGCTTCCCTGTGAGTTTCAACATACCCTCCCCCCCTTCCTGTGGCTACTGTGGCACCTACTACTGTTCACACATCCTCTTTATGCCAGTTTTCTCATGAGTGCAGGAAAAAGAACAAGGAAATCTCTGCTAGAGACATTTTCCTTTTTTGTGTCCTTTGATCTTGGCCGCTTTTCCTTAATCTTCTCTCTGACTCTCAGTGTTAGCCACAAAACGTAGAATAATGTTAACAGTAGGCAAGAAGACTTTGAGAGGGCTGCCTTTTTGACAGAAAAAGGGGACTCTAGCCATGATCCCCTGTAGTGGCTGTCACAACTACTGAAGATGCACAAAGACTTGTTGACTCTCCCTATATACAAAACATAATATGGACAGGCCTAGAATTGTATCCCTTTGCCTTGCATGATGGCTCATCTGTTATGGCTCTGAAGTTGCTAATGCATGTATGTTCACACTCTTTGTAGATTTGGGACACTGGAGGACAGGAACGGTTCCGATCCATGGTATCAACATTTTATAAAGGCTCAGACGGCTGTGTGCTGGCCTTTGATGTCACGGACAGAGATTCCTTTGAGTCCCTGAATTACTGGAGGAAAGACTTTCTGCAGAAGGTGGTTCCTGCAGAGCAAAGCTTCCCCATGGTTGTTCTGGGGAATAAAATTGATTTAAAAGAACAAGAGGTAAGAAAAGGAAGTATGAGGAATGGTGGAAAGCTGCAGGATATAAGAGCTCTAAACTTACTTGGAAACTGCAGATCAGAATTGGACTGAGGTGTTCCCCACATTATAACACTTTGTGAGAAATACTCTTATCACAATAGGTGACTTTCATGTTCCCCCCATTGCTTCACATTTCCCTAACTTATACCATTGATTTCAAAGGAATACAAATGTAAGTAACATCCATAGATTAAGGCCAGAGACTTTTCAGAGAACAGGGTTAGGGTTGCCAGGCCCCTCCCTGGCAACTGGCAGGGGATGGGGGGGCTTATCAGGAGAAAGAGGAAGGCCCAGAACATGTTGCTGGGGTTGCATAGGAAGTGACATCATTATGCTTCAATGTGGCTGTGACACTCTGGTATTTGGGGGAAAACTCTATGGCAAAAACGGTTTTTACCATAGAGTTTTTGCCCAAATACCAGAGCGTTGCCCAGACATCATTGGCATGATGATGTCATTTCCTGCACAATGACAGCAATATTGCCTGGGCCTTCCTCTTTGTCCTGATAAGTCCCACTGCTGGCCAGCTGATCAGTGGCTGGGCAGTAGGGCCTGGCAGCAGGGGATCCCCAACTCCACCGGGGGTCTGGCAACCCTAGATCAGGTATGCTGAATCAGAACAAGCCACACAAGAACTGGGGGGATCTCCATACTGATGTTTTCTATTCCAGTCCTGAGACTGGGATTCAGAATTATTTGTGCATGCAGCACAGTCCTGTTACCCAGTTTCTGCTCTTCAGTGCTTCCCAACACACACACACACACACACTTCCACACTTATAGTATAAATATTCATCAATAAAACATGTAGACAGCTACTATCTGGAAGGTCCTACATTGGAATTGTTTGTTTTTTTAAAAGAAGAAAGAATTATATGTTCATATTTGCATCTTCTTTAGAAATGTAAATGTCCATTCAACTAAAAATGAATCAGTCCACAAGCCAATGCTCCCTCTAAGCAGTTGAGTCTTGTAAGAAAAAATTCTACTTTGGGCTTCCGGTCTAGCTAAGATGGAGGACTGAAGCGTTTCGCAATCGTGCGAAGCGAGCGACGGCCACTTTTGACAGTTTGGGCAATATACAGCCCAACGCATCACTCCCCAGCGAGGGGGGGGGACAAGCAGGCAGCAGCGCCCTAGAGGGAGTGTGAGGTTGGCGTAATCCATGAAAATATGGATCACATTAGAGGAAGCAATTTACAGAACTCCTTACTAACTTATTAACAGAGTAGGACTGTATATGAGCGATAGCAGTCAAAAGCAAGCAAAAAGAATCAGATCTTTTCAATCTAAACTTGCAGAATACAAGTTTCTGAGTTACTTTTTTAAAAAACCACCATATTCTTCAATCTTTGCAGGTCATAATTAAAGAACTGGCTTGCTAAATACTTTTGACAGCTTCTCCTGCATTCATTTGCTTGCTGGTCAGGAACAAAAGCTCATTCATGTGGGTAACATAATTAAGTCTATGGATTAGCATAGCCAATTATGATGTTGCAATAGGCCCTGGCCTGATAGTAGATGCTGAGAACCATTCAGAACTCCTGAAACTTCTGATAGTTTTGCTTCTTCCCAAATAATCTGAATACTGAAAAAAGACTGTAGCTCTCCCACAACTAAACAGTCTAGGAGTTTTCAGTACAGAAAAATGACAGCTAAGGGGAGAAATAATAGAGGTTTATAAAATTATGCATGGTGTAGAAAAAGTGGATAGAGAAAGCCCTTTCTCCATCTCCCATAATACTAGAACTTGGATGTACCCAATTAGATTGTTGGCAAACAGGTTCAAGAAAGACAAAAGGAAATACTGCTTTACTCAGTGAGTAATTAAAGTGTGGAATTGACCACCACTGGAGGTAGTGATGGCCATAAGCAAAGATAGCTTTGGTTATACAGATTTATGGAGGAGAGGTCTATCAATGGCCACTAGCCATGGTGAGTGAAAGGAGCCTCCATCTAGACAGACAACAAACCTCTGAATACCAGTGCCAGGAGGCAGCATCCGGGGAGGGCCTTAGCCTCTATACCCAGTTTGTTTGGCCCTCCAAAGTAACTGGTTGACAGCTATGTGAAACAGTATGCTGGACTAGATGGGCCACTGGTCTGATTCAACAGACTCTTCTTATGTTCTTACTTTCTAATTAACACATTTGACCCAATGGCTACTTTCACAGCTGGAGACCCCAACAGCACCATACTATGGACCTTGCCTTTTCAAGAGGACCACAGCAATCGCTAGAGTAGCTAAACAACATTGCCCTAGCAGGCACTCCTACGACTGGCAAATTGTTGTGGAGTAGCCCTCCTAGTTGTAGCTGGAGTTGTGGGTAAACAGCAGCTCCTGTTCCAAGTAGCCCGGGACCGATTTCCCACAAGCTGCTGCTCCGCGTGTGCTCTTCCCTTTGCCCCAATTGTATGTGTCAACTTCACACTATGTTCTGCGCAGCCGCATTTTGCCCCCACCTTCGCCCGATTTCGCCCGATTTCCCCCGCATTTTGCCCCCACCTTCGCCCGATTTCCCCCGCGGGGGGAATTGGGCGAAGCTGTGGGGCAAAATGCGGCCGCACAGCACATAGTGTGAAATTGACACGTATGATTGGGGCAAAGGGAAGAGTGAGCATGGAGCAGCAGCTTGTGGGAAATCGGTCTGAGTTTACAAGCCATCTGATTTAATGGAAGGCAGTTCCTAAGACCCACATACTCGCACCATCATGTACCTTTGTTTCTACCCCTTCAGAGGCTGTGTACTCATTCTGCTTATCATAGGTACACATGCCTTCAGAAATACAGTTGTTTGCCACTTTTTAAAAGCTATGTTGTACACACATCCTGAGACAGGGCCATAGTATGCAGGCAGTACATGTAACATCATATCTAAGAATTATTTTCAAACAAGGTTTTTGATTTGGGACACTACCACCTAAAGAATGAGAGCTTCTTTATAGAGTAAGAATATTTCTGATTAAAAAAGAAATATATGCCAGCTGGTGTTCCCACACTAAGTCATAGTGCTCCAAATGCCACCCATCTGACTTGCCTAGTTCTATCCGCCCAGTTCTCCCTGCTCACCTTATAGATTTTTCGTAGTCACTCTCACCCTTCTACTTCAGTGCTTACTATGAACATGGCAGGGTACCTGGATATGACCCTATTCTACAGCGAAGCTAGTTTTCCTTATGTTCTGTGGGGATAGGGAATGGGAATATTGAGAGTAATGACATGCAAAAGTAATGGCACCCATGGATTCAGGTCCTTCCTGGCCTCCCTTTTCCTAGAGCAATCTCCTAAATGGCTTCCCTGCTGTTGGAAGCTATGGGACATATGAAGAAGAGCACTGCTGGATCAGACCAATAATCCATCTAGTCCAGCATCCTGTCCCCTTGCGAAAAAACTATGTGATCTGGTGGGGGCTGCAGTGAGAAGGGGGAACTAAGTAGGCTCTGCCCTTGCGCCAGCATAATTTCTTGAACAAGTGGAGATTACAGAAAAGGAAAGGGAGAGCAATTTCATCCAAGTGTAAATAACAAGGGTAAATAATAACTGTAAATAACAACTTACACCAACCTTATTCCAAACGACTTCTTTTACCTGGACTTCAGGTAGATTGAAATCTTACAGACTTGATTGGCTGGGAAGTGCCTTTTTTAGGCAATCAGAGAAAGGATAAAGATACTCAGCCACAGGGAGTAGAGTGCAGTAATGCAGAAATGCCAATTTGATGTGCAAAAGTGATGGCCCAATTCACAGATGAGGATTAGTCAGCAGGATAATAACGATTTCCCCCTGCAGCTTTAGCACTTAACCAGGGCCAGGAAGAGCTGCTGAGAGTGTCAGACATAGGAAGTCCCTAATGTCACATATCAGTAAAGCAGTTTCTAATAAAGCTGAAGTTCTGAACGATTTGGCCAAACTTAGAATGGCAATCAAAGAAAGCAATATAAACTGAACAAAAACATTATGTAGCTAAAGTTCACTGTTTATGGCAGTCATCTGATCAAATGCTTTCTCCTCTTGTCTGACAGGTATCCAAGGAGGAAGCTTCATTATGGTGCTTGAAGAAGAACATTGCCTATTTTGAAGTTAGTGCCAAAGATGATATCAATGTAGTGCAAGCCTTTGAGACCTTATCAAGGCAAGCACTCTCAAGGGTAGGTAGCACTACTATCTGTAAGCAATAGAGATAATGTATTGATGCTGTTGATGATGATCGTCTGTGTTCGTTGCACTACAACATTTCTCCTGTATTTTCCTGACCCCCCCACACCCACAATTTCCCTCCTCTGCCAACAGAGGAGGTGTTCAGGTTTTTTTTTTTTAAATGGTTATTAACAAACATATAACTATAGTGTTAAGCAATGACTATCTCTATAGCAACATATTGCTATAAGAACATAAGAGAAGCCAATGTTGGATCAGGCCAATGGCCCATCTAGTCCAACACTCTGTCACACAGTGGCCAAAAATACCATTAAGCATTAAGCAAAGCAAGATGGGGAGGTAGCAAAGAATCTAAATGAATTATTTGCATCTGTGTTCACTATGGAAAGTGTGAGACATATACCCATGTCACTGTTTTCATGAAAGGAGTCTGAAGAACTGATGAGAGATGAAGTTCTAGACCTACCGGGAAATTAAAAACCGGTAAGTCTTCAGAACCCAAGAGTTCTCAGGGAACTCAAATATGATATTGTTGATTTACTAACCAGTATATGTAACTTTACACTAAAATCAGCCACTCTACTAGAAGACTAGAGAGTAGCAAATGTTACACCAGTTTTAAAAAAGGATGGGAACCATGAAATTACAGGTCAGTTAGTCTAACATTTTCCCAGACAAATTAGTTGAAACAGTAATCGAATATAGAATTATTAGGCACATAGAAGAATAAAGCCTGCTGAGGGAAAATCAACATAGCTTCTTCAAAGGTAAGTCTAAAACCAACTGTGAAGAGCTCCAGGAGAATCTCCACAAATTGGGTTAATGGGTACTACCAATGTGGCCCTGCTAGATCAGACCAGTGACCCATCTAGTCCAGCATTCTATCTCACACAGTGGCCAACCAGTTCCTCTGGAGGTCCAACAACAGGGCAATAGAGGCCAAGGTCTTCCCCTGATGTTGTCTCCTGGCACTGGGATTTGGGGATTTACTGCATCTGCATGTAGAGTTTCCTTTTAGTCACTATGGCCAGTAAGCACTGATAGACCTCCATGAATCTAGCTAATCCCCTTTTAAAGTCATCTATGCCTGTGGCCATCACTACATCATCTGGCAGTGAATTCCACATTTTAATCATTCATTGCATAAAGCAGTATTTCCTTTTGTCCATCCTGAATCTACTGCCCATCAGCTTCTGTGGATGCCTTTGAGATCTAGTGTTTCGGGAGAGGGACAAAAAGCTCTCTCTGCCCACTCTCTCTACTCCATGCTGCAATTTTATACTCCATACTCCATTTTTTTTGTATATGTGCTCCCCCCCATCTCTTTTTTAAATTAAGAAGTCCTAGACTCTTCAGCGTTTCCTTATAGGAAAGGTGCTCTAAGGTAGATGGGAATGGTATCACATAAATATTTTAATAAAAATGAGGGTGGCATTCAATGATAATGTTGAGTGCTTTGGAGGTGGTAGGCTGGAAAAGTTAAGATCCGCTGTTTTAAATCGCAACATGTGGAGCACATAATGCCCTCTTGTGGTCATTACAGTAAATCCAAGATAGACGAAGTTTTGGTTTTCACTACTTTGTGATTTAGTCAGGTTTTTTAGCGTGTGCATTGCCACCCACGTTCTAACTTGCATGCAGTTCAGGTCTACTCAGAATGATAGGAATAAATATATGCATTTGTTTTTATATACCGTAAGTGTATGGTCACATTTTGAAAGTTGCAGATTACAATTGGATTGAGAGACCATGATAAAGCCTTTTAAAATAGGGGTGTGTGTGTTTGAGATAAGAAGAATTAGCACTAACACATGAAGGTAGATTTCGGGTGTATATTATTGCAAAAGGCATAAGAATGGATTCTCATAAAATCAATGTATATTTCTAATAACATAGCAAATGAGAATGGAAACCACTGCATTAAAGCTGTTGTTTGCCCATCGAAGTATTCTCTTTGGGTTTGATTTATTTAAAAGTATGTTGAGTGAGATTACTGTCTCTGGCCACAAGGTGTTGCCCTCTGGTCAGTCTGTGAAGCTCAATAGTTGAATGAAGTTGAATATTTGGTCATTATTTGACCTGTTGTCAAGGAAAACTGGCAAAAGTACCAGGCAGGTGTGTGTTTTTTTAATTAAAATGTAAAATTTAAAAATTAAAAATGAACATACACTTATAATACTGGAAAACATATAAAGGCAAATGCTGTTATTGAACTTTTTCCTTCAAAATGATAGTAACGAAATCCACTTTTCAGTTAATATTGGTTTGTAAACTAAAAAGACCTCCCATCTACCCAAACAGTCCAAATGCTGAGTATGCTCATTTCGCTCAAGGAAGCAGTAAAAGTTGAGGGCAGTTGCATGTCATTTATGGCAGGGGCAGAGAAAAATGGGCTTGCTCAAACTTCTAGCAGTTGTAGCCCTTTGGTCTGGATGCACGATATACCCATCATGCCTTGCTTATGAGCTTTCCACATGCAAGTGGATGATCACTGTTCACGTTCTGGCCTACACAGATCTCTGGGCAAAGTCACTTTTTGTCTTCTTAGTTCATGTTGGTTTATATATTTCTTGTAGTACCGAGGGACCATCGAGAGCTATCTCACAGATTCTATTAAGCTTATTCCTGAAGATGAGCCCAGAAAGAAATGCTGCTGACATGTTGTTTGGAAAGATGGAATATTTTCACTCAGGGAACAGCTACAGTTGTTGGACATTCCCATGCCTCTCAAGGATGGACAAATACTTACATCAACCACATCCCAGCAGAAGCAGAAAAATCTGGATTACATTGGCCCAGCCCTCATCCTTCCTGCTCCGGTTGCCTTCTCATTCCCGTCTTTCAAAGTGCCTCCATGAAATGACCAGGTTAATTTACCAGACTGAAGACTCTCTTTCTGATCTCTGGTTAATGCTGTTTCCCATCTCTTCTTGTTGCATGTTAACAATTCAGGCAAAGTCTTGTTGATTTCCACATAGCTCAGCCTTTTGGTGCTTGAGTTGCCTACACAGTGCCTAACAGCACAACATGATATGGCATAAGTAGAACTCACAGTACCCTCCTTTGAAAAGAATGTGAGTTGATTTTGCAATTCTGACATAAATGTTTGTTCATCATACAAAAACTTGTTTGTAACACTAGTGAGAGCCTGAAGTCACCAGTATAGTTGCAGGTCTTTTAAAATAATCATTATTTGAAGAATAGAGAGTTGCCTAGTTGCCAGAATGCAAACCAAAGAATTAAAAGTTTTTGGGTCCAGTTCCAGTGTCAATTCAAGAAGACATTGTAAATTCATTTATTACATTAAAGTCTGCAGTTTTTCCTGGTCCCATTTTATCATGCACACACAAGAGAAGAGCATTTCTGCCATTCATATCTGTGATGCATCACATTTCTACCACTATTAGCAGAAATAGTGTAAATCACACCTCCTCAGATGCATGATTATTTGTGCAGTGGCAAGCAGCACACCTAAAATCAAAAACATGACATGCAACAGGACAAATGATAGAGCACCTTCAGTTTCCTCATTTGTACAATGGGGACAATTTCCACCTCTCAGGGGTATTCTGCAAAGTACAAAGGCAATAACAAATGTTACAGAAGATTTTTTGGAGAAAATTATTTCAAATCTTAAGTCACTTCCAGATAGCAGCATTGCTCTGTTTTGCATCTCACACTACAGTGTTTGTTTTTCTATGCACATAACATAATTCCCCATTTCACTTATATGGTTTCCCCTGCTTTTCTCTGTTCTTTCTGAAACCTGCTTTGGCATAATCTTTGGGGCAAGATTGTAGTCAAAGCAGGTTTGCCCACCATGCGGGAAAGTATGGATTTTTAAAGCTCGCTGCCCACATCAGTACCACTTCCCCTTCCACTGACCATTATCTCCACCCTGGGCCCCCAGCAGACTTTTTGCTGGCTGAAAAAAATGGGAATAGCTATTGTGACATATTACCAATGGCGGATAGTGGGAGTGTGAATGCTCCATCACCGTCATGAATGCCTGTGCATTCTCAGTGACAAGGAATGCAGGATGGTCACCGCAGTTCTATCATTTCACAGATTTTGCAGAACAAAAATTTTCACAATGGCATTCTTATAAAGGTATTACAACTGTGGTATAATGGAACAGCTTTAAAAGGGAATAGATATGTAGTCTGTTGCATTATGGTATATCATGTCTTAGACAGGGTATTTGTTTTGTTTTGGGTTTTTTGCAATGTTGTCCAGTTCTGTAGTCATAATTCTGAAGCATTGTTTATTGGATGTTTTATGCTGTTTGATTGAATTGTTTTTATATTTTGTAATTCACCTTGAGTCTCAGTGAAAATGGCAGCCGATAAATAAAGTTAGTTGATTAATTAACATTGCTCAGGGGGTCTTGTAGAGCTCTAGCAAGCTTTCCTAGGAAAAATGCTCAAAAACATGTCTTGGCATTGGTAACTGACAACCACAGGAGAAGGGAAATTACTCAGAGCAATTTAGTGCTTAAAGCCTTTCCAGTGCCTGCAGTACATTAGCCTATCAGAGCATAATCCCACAGATCCTAAAATTTGCAAGCACAGCCCAACACAAGCCTACGTTTGTATGTGTGTGTGTGTATACACTGTTGGAAGACAAGGATTTTTTATGCTGTCTCTTAACACTAGCGGGAGAGACAAATGCAGATTTGACCTTAGTCTCAAATTACAGAGGAAGACTACATGTTAGCCGAATTGCTCTTTAGGAGAGACAATTGGAACAGTTTATTAATCGGGATTCAGGTCAATGTATATGGAGGATGGGCTGCACCCCTACGTTCCCAATGAAGAGACAGAAACAGGAATAAAATTCTCTTTAGTTTACTGAATATCAAGCAAAGCACGCAATATCACACACACACACAAGAACTAAGTGAAAACAGAGAGATTTGGTAAAGCACTTTCGCATTAGCAGGTTATCGTTAGTGGGAGATATTTAACTCAGGCGATGCGTGGCTCCTAAAGCTTCCAGCAGGAGGTATTAGGGAGGGAAGGAAAATGTAAATAGGAGGAGCGAGTGTAATCAGACCAGCTGAGAACACGTGTATCACCCTAGCTGCAGACTAAGGTGTAAAAGTGAGGCAAGGGTTGGGGATAGGAAGCTGGATTTGAGGGGGAACAGCAGACAGGCAGAGGTCGTAGGTAAAAGGGAGGATGAACTGGCTGCTTGCGAGCAAGAGGGGGTGGGCTCAGGCGGCTTACACCAGGTGGCCCTAACCTACAGGTCTGGGATTGGCTAAGGGGTCAATTTCCAGTCTATTGATTAACTAAACCGTTGGTACCTGGGCGGGGGAGAAGAGGTACGTGCGGCGGCAACAGTAGCGCTGACTCATCGCTAGCCATGTGGATTCTCCATGTGGACTGGACTTCCATAAAAGTCTGTCGGAGGGGGAATTCTGAAATAAGCCT